GTAATAGCAACTTCTCTTGAAAATGAACAAAATTTGACATAGTATATGTTATAAAGTACCTGCAAAAAACTGGATTTGCTCTCAAGTACATTCATACTCATATGGTTGTTACATTAGGAGACGATGCTCCAGATTTATTAACTGTACAAAAGTAGTCAGCTGAATTTAGGAGGGGAAGTAAGAGTCTTGAAGATGACCCAATGTCTGGCTGCCCTGCAACTGCCACCACTGTCGAAACATTGGTTGTATTCACCATATAATGATCGATGACATGCGATTGACTATAAATCAAATAGCCAATGCTATTAGTATATCCGGTGTGAGAGTTGAAAATATTCCTGCACAATGAACTTCGTATGACGAAGGTTTCTGCTCAGTGAATGCTATGTTTTCTGACATCTGATCTAAAGCGCAACATTCAGTTAGGTTTATCACTGTGAGCGAGAGACAATTTATGCAGTGGAAACAACCATCCTCATCTGACATCGAGAAAGCATAGTTTTTCATCGACAGGGAAGGTGATGGGCTCAGATTTTGACGATGCAAAAGGCATTGTGTTTATTGACTATCGTCAAAAGAGTCACACCATCAATGGAGAGTACTATGCCAACTTGCTCAGGCGTGTACAAAAGGCTATTAAAACCAAACGCCCAGGAAAACTGAAGAAAGGGGACATCAACATACTTATTTTCAATGGCTACTGTGCGTGACTGGCATTAGCTGGTTGATTACCATCCCTATTTTCCTGATTTGACTACCAACTGTTCCACAACATTAAAAAACAATTGGCTCGGAACCTGTATCCTAATGATGATGACGTCATATCTAGTGTTGATGACTTTTTTGGCAAACAGGATGAACAGTCTTTTTCCGCGAGAGTATCAATGAAGTTATGAATAAGAAGATTTGAAATTAATACAGAGAGACCCGGATATAAGAGAGATTTTCTCTGGTCCCAAATTAGAGCCTGTGTTAATGTATATAAAATAGACCAAACCCGGATATAAGAGAAACCCGGATATAAGATACTTCTTCTCCGGTCCCGACAACTCCCTTATATCCGGGTTACACTGTACATGCAAGAACTAGCATAAATTCTTCATAGTCAGCGTCGGAACTTTTCAGTCTGCTCTTGTAGAACGTGGAAATAGATTTCACAGCTGTAATGTTTGATTATGAAAATTGACTTAAATTGGACTTGACTGTTGGCGGTTTGAGAGTTTAGGTGCTTCTAACAAGGAAATACTCAACTAACACGATTTAATACAACCAGGAGAGTGGCGTTATATTTTGGGTTAGTATCGTAGACGATAAAATAGATATTGATGATGGTGCACATTATTGTTGTATGTTCTTGGGCAAAAGATTTTTAGAGTGTTTAAAGTCACAGCCAATAATCTTCAGGTTAAAGTTTATATTCATTCAAAAAATGCTCGTTCAGATTCAGTGATGCCCACCTTGCCAACAGCTTTCTTATAATGACCCCTAGAACCATAAGGTATGAATCTACCAAAAAACATGTAGTCTATTATTAAAAGAGATTTATGTGAGATTGGAATATAATATTCAAGCAAAGAATAATCTCGTTAGGCAGTAATGACCATTATACGTAATACAGTGTAACCCGGATATAAGAGAGTTTTCGGGACCGGAGAAGAAGTCTCTTATATCCGGGTTTCTTTTATATCCGGGTTTGGTCTATTTTATATACATTAACACAGGCTCTAATTTGGGACCAGAGAAAATCTCTCTTATATCAGGGTTACACTGTATCAATTTTGAAATTGTGAAATAGTTAACAAAATAAATGTTAGAAAAACTGATGAAACTTATAGAATATTAACGAGTCCATATCAATGCGTTATTTATTGATTCGTTTTCTGTACTACTACTGTACTGATGCGGCATTCACCCTGGGCGGATTGAGCCGGCTTCTTCCTGTTATGAGAAGAAGATTCTTGGGATAAATCACAGAAGTAGGGTACCCAGGCCTACTCGGATAACGTTCTTGCTTGCCGCGGGATTCCCACAGACGCAGAGACAGGAACGACCAGAAGCCGCCGGTTACCGATGCAGACGCTCCTTGGATTTTCACCAGAGCCCTTGTTAGCCGGCGTGTGTGTCAGACCTGTCCGCCTTGGGTGGCCCTACCAGGAACGAAGTTCCGGGCGGCATAGCTCTGACACTACCGTTACACCCCCACCCACCGACTGTGAGGTAAGGGTTGGACTTTGGGGGCTTACAGTACCAGGTGTTCCCAAGCGGTCCCCCATCTAAGTACTGACCTGGCTCTACGATGCTTAACTTCGGTGATCGTACGAGAACCGGTGTTTCAGCGTGATTTGACCGTAAGCACGATTCGTTTTCTACAGTTTATCAACTCGTTGCAGATTATTTAAAGCCAGAAAATATTTTTAGACTGTAAGAAGTTTTCTTTGTGGAGACAATAATGATTTAACGATACAATTCTTACTAAATAACCCATAGTTTGAGGGAGAAAAGGCGGCTATATACTTTTCGCAAGGTATTTGCGCATCAGGCAATATAACGAACACAACTAGAATTGGAGCCCATCTCCCGAGTAACAATTGCGAGCCATTATCTATTAGACCACCGGCAAATCAAAAATTACGGCACCTGATATTAACAAGAGGTCACCCATCTCGGTAATGAACAGGATCAATATTGCTTAAATTCGATGATCGTACAGGAACCAGTGTTTCAATTATGTGTAAATAATATAATAACTGATTCAGATATATGGGATGTTGTATTCAGTCCATATTTCTATGGTGTTTATCTTTTCGATTTATTTACAAGTACACTTTTCGTTGTACTTCGATTGTTTGTATAATAAATCCTAAAATATGTTATTGTCAGTTCTTTTAATAAGGAGCGATTCTGTAAGCATAATATATTACTCTATTTTTATATATAAGTCTATCTAGAAAATAATACCAGCAGAAGTTGTCCAGTATGAATTTCTTTGTGGAAACACTGACATTTTATATAAATATAACTCCAGTGCAAGGCCCGAGACCCACTCAAGGTAGAAGATTATTTCATGAATCTAAGAAAAGTCAAGAAGGGCAGTTCATGAGGTTAAGTACGAAAGAAAACTTTACACTTGAAAAGTAAAAATTGTAGTGATGAGAAAAACATCCTGCCGGGAGTTTATTCCAAAAAACAGCAGTTCTTGGGAAGAAGCTGTCCGACGTGAACTTGATTATTGCTAATGGCATATGAAGGGGATGGCACTGGTTTATTGGTGTATGTAGCACAGCGGATCCAATTTGTAAAGTCCAGGGCTGGTGCAACCGAGGAATGTATCTCCTCAGAACATATGACATGGAAATAGTGTGAGGCTCGTGAAGTTTCGTCTATGGAGGAGATGGTTGCAAGATAGAAAATAATTAATTAGCCACAAATTCGTGTAGATTTTGAACTCTATCAAGACAAGCAAGTGAGGACTAAATAGTTCCAGCCCAGATATAACCGCATTTTTGGTCTGATCTGGCTCTTGTACAGATAGAGTTAATCAGGGAATGTCAGATACAATGAACCGATAATTTTCCAGCATCTTTAGCAACAAATCGTATTTATAATTTCCACTTGTCTGTAGTGAGCTTGCATTCCAATAGACATTCAAGCCAATGAGTCCCATGGAGAGAACACCCATCCATCCATGGTAGGTGAAACTTCAGGGTCTGCTCGTTGATGGTTAAACGTTACTTTCATAATAAAAGGGCATTTATTTAGCAATTACATAATATCTGCAAATCCATCTCCTATTTTTTTTTATTAATTCACCCCAAGCAAAGCGATAATACCACTGACACTCAAGGGGCTACAGTGAGTGAAAGATAACGAGAAAATTATAGAAGGAATTTAAACCCAATGCTAAACAGGAAACAAATGATAAACCTTAACTTGTATTCAAAAGACTAGTGAGGGGTTGTGAACCGGACGATATATCTATCTATAGAACCGTCAATGATTGTCTACTCACCCCCGTTAAAAATAGACTCTTCTATAAGAATTAGCTTTGACCCATCAAAACCACACATTGTGAAACTCGGCTTGTTATGGGTCGTGACGACCCTAGAATGTATATCCATGGTCAAAAATCTGTTTTCCCGCCAGATCGTTGGAGCCTACTTTGGTTTCCCAAAACAAATAAAAGGACGAATTTCAGACCAATTTACCAGTCAGATCTTAATTCCTAGAGAGATGCCAAACTGACCCACGCATGTCAAAACTCTGACCAACCAGGACTTTGCCGCGCAAAATATCTGACTCAACAATCCACAAGCACAGTCTATCTCTCTCAGGAACTATATCCAAACATCACTAACGATACTTTAAAAAGTGACTTTTTTTTCTTTTTCTCATAAGTATTAGTAAACAAACAATCAAATTCTCACACAACTAAAGGTACGCAACTCCTACCAATTATACAAACAAACTTATGTACACACACTAATAACTGAATTAGCACAAAGGACAATTTCGTACGTAACTGGACACTTAGTTTAATTCTGTGAACAAATCTGAATAGCAATTGCAAACACCTTCAAACATTCACAATAATATTCTACGCAGCCAAATACATCTATTCTCATTTATCCATTAAAGTTCAACTCAATTGTATTCTCAAATTGTATATTAATTGTACATAAATGCATGTTGTTTTATTGAAATCTCATAATCAGTGTTTCTTAATCAATTGCCTCGTGATTGATTCGTTTTTGCATATCTATATTCTATATTGTTGCAGATTAATATGGTGAACATGCCTGTAAACTAACCATCTTAATATAAAAACCTTCTGATACCAAATTGAAACTCATAGCAATCCCAACATACCTATCTGCCTGCATTACAACTTGGTGTCTTAGATTGTTCTCTATTTACCATCGTTGCCTGTATTCGATGTTTAAGCCCAGGGAAGAGCTAGGTATGAATTTTTCAATGAAAATTCACTTGACTGATTACATACCTACGGTCACATCACATTAAAGCACCGGTTCCCGAAATTAAGCCACATCGAGCCTGGCCAGTACTTAGATGGGTGACCACTTGGGAATACAAGGTGATGCGCGGATAGTGTAAGGGATAATGACTCGGAATTATTAATCGGAGAGCCGAGTTTCAATTCATGTTATTTTCATTATATTCACTTAGGCGCAAGTGCCCTTAGGAAAGGTATAAATCCACCTCTTGTTCTCACAGTTATCGCTTAATTAATACAATATCAATAAACCATACTTATCTTTGAAAACTTTCTTACATTCTGAAAGTATTGTCTGGCTTAAAATTGTCTACAAAAGGTTGATAAGCCGGAATAAATACAAACAAATTTATATGCACCCAAAAGTTCATAAGCACTAAAAAACGAATCAATCGACCAATTTTTTGCAGATTGTACCTTTATGCAATTGCTAAATATAGAAGACAGGGTCCGGCAGAAATACCTCCCACATTTTAAATTATCACCTGTGTGGCGCTAGTGAACTTAGGCAAGTGACAATGGTGTCTTCCTCTAGCTAATGTCATACCATTATTTAAGAGATATTTCTGCTTCTCCCTGTCGGCAATGTCTTACCATTTTTTATGGGGGGGGTCCGCCACGCCCTGTACTTCGTAAATCTATTTCACGCCATATCTATGTCAGTGAGCGCATATCTGTTCATTTTTTTCTTTTATTTATATTTTGTTTTCTTTTAAATATATTGTTCTCTTCTCGCAACCGTAGATTCGTGTTTTTTGTTTCTAAATCTAGATACTAGTTTTCGATATTCTTAAAACGATTGATTTACTTGATTCGATGTAATATTATTTCTTTGTATCGGCTTAAAGCAATGTTTTTCTTATATTTGCTGCATGAATTACATTTAAAAAATATATATTTGCCTCCTATAAGTCGTTTCGATTTCGTTTCAAAATATGTATATTTCTTTCTTATATTTAACTTCCTGCCATTGTTTTTCTTTTAAATCGCAACATACAGGAACGCTCATCTTTGTACGATAAAAAGAACATTTTTTCTTATCTCTCTCTTTCTCTCTTTTATGTAAAGGATTTGTTAATAAATGACGTCTTATTCGAGGCAAATCAGAACCATTTGAACCTTGGCACATAAGACAGGTTTAAAGAACACAATTCTGGAAATAAGAAAACGAAAACATAAAAACGGAATGTTACTAGAGAAAACGTCGGATAGAACAATAGTGGAAACTCTCCTCCTTTCGTGACTGCTGAAGAGTGTGAGTCAGATTAAGATTGACAGAAGAAAGAAAAGAGAACCCTGTTTATTTAGGAAAACTAGAAAGATTCTCATGTGATAGGTAGGGTAACTTGAATTTGAAACGTTTTTTCCCTGTTCATTCTTGAACAAGTTCCTGTTTTGAAAATAAATGATTTCTCTCGGTTGCTACAAGAATAAACGACATAGATTTTTTTTCGTGCGTCGCATTTGATTTATCTCTTCTCAATTAAAAGACTTGTCAAATTCACAGTTTCGCAGTGTGTATTTTCACCGACGATCCCTTTTTCTCTGGCGTATCTCGAGTAATTGGCTCCTGAATATTCGATACTCCCCCCCCCGGCTAATCCAATACCGCGATTACACAATTGGAATTAGTATATAGCAAAATTCTTTTCCTTTTCTTCTTAATTCAAGACTGACACTGTTTTTTGCTCTCTGATCTCAAATGTAATCCCAGTTCTATAGGAGTACACGGCTACATAATTACAATGTGCACGGAAAAAAGACTCGAATTACAGTTGGGAGTGTTTATATTCATCTCGCAATAATCCATTCGTCTATGTGATCGGTGTCGGAATCAGTTACCTTGGCAAAAACATCTCGTTACTGGTATGCCACGATCATAGAAAAAAAAAAGATGAGTGAGCCAGTGACAACCGAGGCAACCTCATATCTGTAGCTATATTTCTTTTACCGCAATTGCTAATGCTGACTTGAATACTGAATAAAAGAAAACAACGATATATATATACAACGATTTAAAGCGCCAATTTGTACTGGAGAAAGAAGCACACCGAAATAATTACGCTATGTCATTTTATTATGCAGGTCTATGTTTTTACAATAAAAGTGATACCAGCCAATCAATGCTGCTATCATCTCCATTATATGCTTATATTAAAAACATAGCGTAAGAAATTCAACCTATGATATCGTTTTTTCTCCATTTCGTGAAATGCAATGCGATAAATTCTAAGACGTAATGGGTTACTGAGCGGTAGAGAATATAAAAACAAGAGCACTTAGGAGATGTACATTTTTGATGATCTATGCCGGCAGACGTTAATTTAACCGTGTATAAATAAAGAGCGATGTCTAGCCAAACATGTACATCCATTAAAATAACGTTGATTGTAATAAGAATTACTGTTGATTAAAAAAAAATCCATTTGCTGCTTAACACCCCAAGCAAGGCAATAAAGCCACTAAGACGTAAGGTATTAATAAGTGTTAGAATATATGATAAAACACTATTAAGAAGAAAGAACAATAAACAAGGGTTAAGAAAACAGAATATAACGATCGACGTTTCATTTAAATTTATGAAGATCAAAGTTGATTGGGAAGCAAGAAGCCCGGAAGACAGTTCCACAAGCAAGAAGTGCGATAGAAGAGGCTGTTAGCATAGAATTTACGGATAAATCTAATCATTTCAAATAAAAAATGTAAAATGATGAGACCTTGTAGGCAATCTAGTAATGCGCTTAAATTCATAAAGTCTAGGTACCATCAAGGAAAGTGCATCAGAACAATTACAAGGACATTATTTATAGAAAAGCCACAGAGAAGTTACATTATGGCGGAATGAAATAACTGAATCCCAAATGCTAGATCAAGACCAGTAACATTGCAGATTCTTTTAACTCTATTAAGAATCTCGAAATATCTAGCTGAAGCACCAGACCATATATTGAAACTATATTCAAAGCAAAGTTATAGTTATGTAAGATAGATTCTGGCGCGAAAAATTGTTTCGCAAAACGTTAAACTACATCCGCATCCTGGGTAAGACGATAAACTACATCTGACAGCAAGGCCTTTGATCAGGAGGTTTTGAGGTGCGTGGAACCACTTCTTAATTGCTAGTGTTCTGTTATAGTGGAACACACCTATTCTATAGTTAATAGACTCTCCCACCTATAATAAGTAGGAGTAGTAGGAGTCGCTCAGTGGTTCGGTCAGTCAGTCAGTATCAGCGACCACAACTAGATTTCTCTGCGTCATTACCTATTATATCAAGTTGCTAACGTTTTGTATGTCGAACCTATTTTAGGACCGACTTAGTACAAATACAAGCCTCCACTGTGAAACCACTCCATAACATGTTCCCAGCTTCATACTGGTGGAAGGCAAAAAGGGTTCTCTCAGGCGACTAAAAGAGAGCAGAATCGTTTTGGCTATTAAAAATATATATGGATAATAAATGGTTTTGTAGTTGTAAGGTTTTATTAAGCGAAGAAATCTAAGTGCAACGAGAATTTTTATTTATGAATCATTTCAAAAATGATCTAGGCCATAGAACCATATATTTAATTTATGTATAAACATTTAATTGAAGCAATTACCAATAACAATTCAATCTGATGCCACCGCCTACTCTTAATCTCTGAACATATGATGTCCTGAAATATTTGGATAACTTTTTTTATTTAGGAACTGCTTATTATATGCAATAAAATATATTATAGCGTTTTCTATGTACCGTGTTCCTTCAGCACGTGGGCGATCATGGCTCTCCGCAATTTTCTGTTCTTTGTAGCTCTTAATAAATGTTGTCTTTTTGCTATCACTACTAAAACCTTTTCCGTCTTCTATTTAATTTGCCAGGTAGGTTATGCTTTGTTTTCTACTCCTGTGAACATCAAATTTTCCAAGTCTTCTTTCCTTATTATATGCTCAAGTAATTTCAACTTCTCTTTCTATTACTAAGTGTAAGCGTCCTTTTTTGTTTCCATTTTCTCTAAAATTTCGTCATGGCTTACATGTTTACTCTGTGATATTCTCATCATCCTTCTGTAGAACTACATTTCTGTTGATTCAAGTCTCTTCTTCAACTATGAAGAGATTGTCCAGCATTTAGTCTCATATATGGGATGATATTACATGACAGTTAATTACTATGTACTTTGTTTCTTGCGAGATTTTCCTGTTTCTTAATACTTGGCTTTTGCAAGTTATCTTTTGCTATCCTGATGACCCTTCAGTATTCGGTGTCACATTTTCCGTCCTTTGTTGAAACACTTTCAGGTATTTTATGTTTTTTATTTGTTTGACGTGAACATCTCAAATGTGTGATTCGTATGTTTGGCTTTTTCTTTTGCTGGCTGTCATACATCCTGTCTTCTTACAATTTATGCTTATACCCTTTTTTCTTCTTCTACGATATTCTGTAAGAATTTCTATATTTATTTTTTTTTGTAATTTCTATCGTTTCTGTGTTACCTGTATATCCATTGTTAAGAAGGTGTTCGCCAATAATGTATCCTAATAGGACTTCTAATTCTCTCAGAATCATCTCAAACTAAAGGGTGAATAAATCTGATGATAAATATATCCTTGTCTTACATCCCTTTCTATTTCTGTATATATACTGAATTAATTTTCTATTTGAATACAGCCGATTTGCCCCAAGTACAATTTCTGGAATATTATAATATCCTTCTGTTATTGTGAAACACACCTATTCTATAGTTAATAGACTCTCCCGCCTAATATAAGTAGGAGTAGTAATAGAAACGACGGTCAGTCGATGTCGGACGACCGGCTGAACGGCTGAACTCTCTGCCTTCGGGCGGGGAGGAACTCGAACGAGGCTATGCCGAAGGCCGGAGTCTCGTTCGGGGGGAGGCAAACCGAATCTGAACCCGTTTATACGGGTTCAAAGGGTATATTTTTGGCCGAGCCCACGGGCTCGGAGATCCCACGTTAAACCGGCCTTGTGCCACATGATACCCTCGTGGCGGGTGACTAAATACTAGTCGGTGTCGGACGACAGTAGTCGACAGTTAGTCGAATACGAAAGTAGTCAGCGACCACAACAAGATTACTCTG